TACAATGAGAAATATTAGGCTTCATTACAATTATACATATTTTACAATTTAAAAATATTTTTTTAATTGTAAAAATTAAAATCTCATCTTTTAAAATATACAATTGTTATTCTAAAAAACAATACAAAATATTGCTGCAGTTTTCAACAAAACGTTATAAGAATAATAACAATAGTTATAATTACTAAAATAAAAATAACACAGTGCGTAGGAAGAATTAGTTTTCTTTTTACAATTTTAATACAAAATAAGAGTATGTCGTTAAAAGCTTTTGAGTTGAAGAGTTGGTGAATTGCGAATTCGTAAAAAATATTAACGGATTAAAATAAAAATTTTTAATAGCCGAGTATGCAATAACTTAGTGAAAAAATCACTAGCAAATATTTAAATCCGATTAACCGATTTTCATAGTGAACAGTGAGTGCACGAATTTAGTAAATAAATGCGTAAAAATATATGTACGTATGTGCAAAATTGTCCTTAAATTAAAAATTTAAATATGTATATCATTTTCATAAAATTAAAATTTATAACAAAAATTGTATGTTGTATGCATATTTTTAAAACTTTAAGCGAACATTGTTTTTGTATGAATTTATTTAAATTTTTGTATTTTAGGCAAAAAATATTTTTATAAAGATTTTGTTATACTATTTGCATTATTTTTTTACAATATTCAAAGCATTAATATGGCCACTGTAAATTAATTAATAACTACTTTTTATTTCGCTTATTTCACTTAAGTTATTATGATTATTATGATAATTTTAAACAACTAATAAATTAATTTTAAAATTGCTTCAATATACATAAAATATATAAACAAATTTATACACAAAAATGGAGTTTTTGACTTTTAACAGATAAAAAAGTGCTAAAAAATTTCTAATTTAAAGAATTATACAAACTTTCAAGTTCTAACAAATATTTCTGAAAAAAATAGTATGTAAAATATTTCAAGCAAACATTTTTACAATTAAAATATGAAAAAATAAGTGTTGAATCAATCGCTCAAAAATATGAAATAGCAATACCCAATTATTTGCATAAATATTAAACGCAATGAATTTTTTTAAAAACCGTTAATTGGAAATATTTCTCAAAGCAATGTATGTATGTGGTAACAACTTAGAAGGAAAAAAATTGCAAATGCTTTCAAAGTTACACATTTTCCTTTCAAGGCAGTATGAGTACACAAGGAATAAATTCGGCTAATAAACGCTTTTAATATTAAAGAAAAGTGTGCAAAAAATGCAAGTTTTGTATTTTGTCTTCGTTTTTTTGCGCAAATGCATACTATACACACTGTATAAGCATACGTGTATTCATATATCTAAGTGGGTTTATAATAATGCATTTTTCGTATAACTGTTATTTTAATATATTTTGACTTACACGCAAAGCAACACAGCTAATTGGTGTTATAAAATAATAAATTACAATTAATTACATTAAGCTTTACAAAATTATATATGTAAGTTGTTTTTACAAATCATTTTTGCGGCATTAATATGTACATGCATACCTTATATGCGTCCTTTACGCAAAATATTTTTTGCGTGCGATATATGTATGCATACTTACATATGTGAGCAAATAATACTGAAGCTGTATTTTTATTTTGGTGTTCATTGCAAAAGAGTTTCAATGTTTTTGTTATTAAGATTTTTTAGTATTTTACTTTAACACTTTGTTGTATTTACGAATATTTTGAGGCAATTTAAGAGTATTGTGGACTAAAATGAACAGCCAAACATTGTGCAAGTTTAATATTTCTAAAAAAAAGTATCGTATATGGTTTTAATATTAATATCTCACACAAAAAATTATTTAATATGGCTTAATATCTTTTTTCGGACACAAATTAACTTTTACGCTCCAACAATTATTATTTCTACCAAGAGACCTAAATAAATTATTATTTATTTTAGGCAGTTTAGGAGAAATGAAATTCACTAGCTCTTCAGCGCGCAGCATTTGCGCATATAATTTGCATAGCAGTTATCTTAATTTAAAAAATTTTTCGAAATTGTACATTTTTTAATTGATTTCACGCCTAGCCATCGACTTATCTTCGTCGAAATTCATGCGTTATCCTTTGCAGTGTACAAACATTTTTTTTGCACATTGAAAACTCTCGCTTTCCAAGAGCACTAAATAACCCGCACACTTCGATATTGTCAGCGCTCGTTAATGCCAGCAAAAATACACGGTCTATAAACTATACACTCATACATATATATGGTACTCGTTACGTTTTTAATTAAAATCTTCTATGTTTATGCATTATTATTACTCGCTTGTTTTACTTTTTGCTTTTAATTAGTAACTAAAAATAGAAAAACATTAATTAGAAATATACTTTTATATAACTTAGAATTGTTCATTTAAATTAGCTTCTCTTCTTTACTCAATGTATATGAGTTTTCTATATATATATATTTTTTTTTTGTTGTATTTTGTATTCTTTTTTGTTCTAAATGTATCGACAGCAATTACGTACTAAAACACCTAACAACTCAGCTGACTGCTCACACGCAGTGCATATTTATGTGGGGCAGAGTACTTTCAGTATGTAGTCCGTTAGCAGCGCGGGTACGGTTGGACTGTCCTCATTGATTGCTTTTAGTACTGTAAATTGCAAAGCAGCACAGAAAAATGTAATTAAATTGAATCTTTGTGTAGATAATTTGTTGGTACTCACTTTTGATTAGCACTTGCAAGGACTGGTTGTTTGGTGTGCCATTTTCCATGTGGTAAGGTATGACAGTGGTCAGATACTTTGGCTCCGGTCCTGGTAATTACAATTGAAAATAATAATAATCGCCCGCTTTGAGGTTTGAGTGCTTTGTTTAGCTTAAAACTATTACCGATCACCAAAAATATTGTTTAACAACGGTAAGCTTGGGTAGTTCAAAACCAATTTCCAAATTTCTTGCACGAAAAAACTTAAAAAACGTATATCTACTAAAAAAAAGTTTGTAGGCAAGCAAATCATCCTCTATGTTCGAAATCCTTTCCACCTGACACTTAGCTACGATTCAAAGCTATAATAATTTCTTATAAAATGGAATACAAAATAATAGTAGATGAAGCACATTTTAAAGAAAAATGTGTACGGTCGAAAACCTTTCTATCTTAGCTCCGATATATACCAAATTTCTAATAAAACCGCATCTCAAATAGACATGTCTGCGTGTTTAGCAATAAGTTCGAAAAAATTCTTTGTTATGCTTTTTTATAGGATTTTCAAATTTTTACCCATAGGAAATATATTTTTATGAGCAGATTCCGGTCTTCTTATACGTATTATACCATCATCTTACTTTTAAAACGGGTTTTAAATTTTGTAAAGAATTTCAGAAAGTTCGAATTAATTTTAGGTTATGCGTGTTTGAATAATTTGTGTAACTGCCGTTAGTTTTAGAAACGCTCTTAGACGGTTTACACAAAAAAAAATAACAAAAAAAAAAAATAATAATAATAATAATGACAAAAAAAAAAAAATTACAAAAAAAATGTTTTCAAGCAGTTTATATAAACAAATACTTTAAAAAACATTTAGGATAGGTTTGTTTATATAATTTTGAAAATTTCCAAACTGATGTTAAAGTTTTAAAAACGCTTTTAAAGTTGTATATAATATATAAAAAAGGTAAAAAAGAATTCATAATTTTCAAATTCAATTAAAATTTTAGTGCGAGTTTCAGGCACTTTCAAGCTAATAATGTAATCCAAAGGTTAGTTTTCCATAGTTCAACAATTCCATAAAATCGGTTTTGTTTGGCTCGCCTTTAACCTAACTACTTCAATCTACAGCGCATTTAAATAGCTACTGACTTACCTTGCAATTTTCCACGCTTCTTCTCCACATGATACTGTCGACGTTTATTCTGTACCGCCAGCAACAATGAAATGAACGAATTCTTCAGCTCTTTCTCATATTCGAGCTCGTCGCGCAACGCCAATTCATTTATTAGTGTCTCGCTGAGTTCCTGTATGAGCATTTCCATTTCCATGTAGAGCTCATTCAATTGTGATATCGATAAATATTGTAATTCTATAAGAAAACAATTGTTTAGTGAAAAGCAATATTAAAGAATGAACTGTGTACTTACTCTCCGCATACAATGGCGCACCCAAAACCTCTCTAGCTTTCTCTATCACCTCCGATTCACATGTCTCTGCTTCATCCAATGGACTTTCAGCCTCGTCCATAATATCATCAATCTCTTTGATTACCTCCTCAACCGTTTTAATGGGTTCCTCATGCTCCGAATTCAGCCCGTTCAATATCAACGCATGCATATCGAGATCATTGGCTACAGCCTCATCCTCGCTGGTTAATTCATCACCCGGTGTGGTGGCATCAAGCGAATTGCCAGCACCGCCATTACCGGCACCAAGCTGATTTTGGCCTAAATTCAATGTGGGCATGTGCATTTGGCGTGTGAATGATTTCGACCAATCGATAGGCAGTATGTTGCCAAAGTTTCCAGTGATGGTCCACCACATTCTGTAAAGGATGAAAAATGTGATTACATTATGAATATATCAAAAAAATGTATGTAAATACATATATTTAAACTTATTACATGAAAAGTGCAATGCCTGAATTAAATATATTTTCAGTGTTGCTATCAGTGCTTCACGACACTTTAATAGCATATATTTTAATGAGCAAGTTTGTGCCAGCAGCACCCATTATATTTAACAAATCGAAACAAATGTGCATGCAATTCTAAAACATCTCAATGGCGTTTTTAGCGCACATTTTCTAAGAGCACTTCAACTGCCACTAACAGTCATGTTAAACAAAACTTGTAGCAACTCATTTGCGGCTTGCCAACTTACAAACTATAAATTGCAAAAAAAAAACAAAAAATAAATCCCAAGCAATAATGAACAAAAGTGGTTTTGACAAAAACAAACAAAAACGAACAAAAAATGTTTTCAAGACAGTTAAGTATCCAGCAAAAGCACATAAAATGTAGGTTACAAAAGCTCAGACAAACGCCATACATTCACGCTGTTCCACATATAGAATTTACTATATAAATTTAGCAAGCCATATATGCTTTGCTACATGCCTACAAATCATATACGATGTATGTATATATATTAAAACTAACGCACATAACGTGCAATTTGTCTTTTTGTTTGCTCTTAAGGCTTGTCAAGATTTGGGCTAAGGCAATAAAAAAGTGTAAGTAACTTGTCAAGTGCAGTAACATAAACCTGCAGCATTGTGTAGATGACTATACCAAAAAGTATGCTATGAATTTAGAGCATTAAAATTTAACGTTATACAAGCAGAATTTGAAATATACTATATGTTTTTTTTCGGAATGCTGAGATTCAAAAGCATATTTATTTCTGGCACTGAATATCAAACAACTGAAGGATAATGGATTGTAATCGATTAGTCGATTGGTTATACAAGTTATTGCCAGTGACATTGATGGTGGTTATTTGCCAAAAGAGATTATGTGTAACTTAATGGGTAAAAATTCGAAGAAATCAATAAATAAATAAAAAAAAATTATAATGTAAAAAATATAACAAATATTGATTAAAAAAACTTAAATTCAAAAAATAATAATAATAGTAAATGAAATAAATAAATAATATAAAAATAAATAAATTAAAATAATTAATTTACCGTGTAATCAATTTCTTTTGCTTTTTAAAGTTTGATATGGTTATGCATAGAATCGGAGAATTATATTTGAGACTACCATTCATTGGATAATTAGGGTAACACATATTCGGATTTCACTTAGAAACTATAACATATATGTGTAATAGTTCATTACTATATTTACTATTTACATTCTCATCTAGTAATAGCTGACATAATTTTTAATTTACTCCCATTTCTTTTCATAGTGTATGAACAAAAATGATTAAAATTCTAGCAAGGCAACACAGATAGCGGCATAGCAGTAATGGCTATACAAAATTAAAACAAAACGGAAAAAAATAGTATGCACTTGTTTTTAAATGTGGGTCACAAATGGGCGCAAGAGCGCCTTACGGTACTTACACACATACCTAGATTGGAATTGTGGCGTGTATGGTGGGTGGGTTTTTGCTCACAGGGTGTGGGGTGTGTAATTAAAAAGTGTTAAAGAGGATATGTATGTAAGCATTTAGTCAAGTTAGACTTTTTATTGCTCAACTGGAATTGATTAAATGAAAACGAGGTTGCCGTAGGTTAATTGGATTAATGATTTCGTTTTCATTTTCATTTTTGTAAAATGTTGAGTACATGAAGAAAAAATATTAAACATAAAAAACTTTCTTAATTCGTGCGTTGAACATTAAGTACACTACATTACATTGCATTTTCTTTCGGTAGCACACAGTAAAATGCAAATTTGTGTTAAAAAATAATGTATATAATTATTATGGCCATTTGGTTAGAAAATTATGTCAGAAATAAGCATGTGAAATGGAATTTAACTGTGCGAACAGTTAAAAAGTAATGAATGCAATAAAAGTTATTACAATTAGTGCCCAAACTGCACACTCTCACACTTAAATTCATTGCACATTGCAATGAGCATGACTTTTCGTTGCCTCTTCCATACATATGTATGTACGTACATATTTTTCGCTGACTTGCACAAAACATGATAGAAATTAGTTAAACTTTATGCAAATATACATAAAATGTCATTTCGAAAAAAAAAACCACTAACAATCATAAATAAAATGATGCGAAACTTTTTGGAGAGAGCGCTACCATAATGCATTTTTTTACAGCATTTAATCAAAAAATAACTTTTTGGAATTATTTAAATTTTTATTTTTTGAAATTTATTTTACCGAAATTAAACAGTGCAGTTCTGTTGAGTTAATTGGATTATAAGAAGTCTTTTTAAAATCAACATTAGATTTGACTCCTCTCGATAACAGCAGCTGAACCGCAGTCATCAATGATTCTCAGTGAAATCAATGTCATTTAGCGATGTCAACCTCGTTGACGATCATTGTCCTAGCTAAATGTAAACAAAGGGGTCATTCACTACGCAAGGGTTATGTATTCATTACACATAATCAAGGGGATTATTGATTTCATCTCAGGAATGGTTGTTGACCGCGCTCTAAATTAAAAGACAAGGTATATTGGCCTCAGGGAAGGGCTTAACAACCCTCGCTCTCGCTAAAGGTAAGTAAAAAGGTCAGAACCTAAAAGGATTGTTAACCCTTCATACAAACATAGCAAAAACGTGTACCAATTTTAATGTCGTCCTGTCCGGGTCAAATTTGATCTCGAATGTTTATTGGAAAAAAAATCATTAAATAAAACTTCAATATACTTAAATATTAAAATACAAAACTTTTTTTGTGATTTGCAAGCAACGGAATGACAAAAAAAATATTTGAAAAAAAATTATAAAAAATCAAACACGCCAACACGAACAGGTATTGGTATAAATTGCCAAATTAAAATTCCGTTGCGCCAATCAGTTGCATTCATTACGCCTGGAAAATAGTTATTTAGTCATTACGAGTGTGGCGAATCGACTTGAAATCTAATAGTGAAATAGTTAACAAGCAGGCAGCGAAAAAAACGTGGGCGCTTGCAAAACAATGCAATTTGAAAACCATTTGACAGTATGAAGCGACGATATAAAAAGACACTTGGCGCTAATAAAGCATTGAAAGAAGAAACGTTAACAAAACAATGCAATGCAATGTGAAATAGACATTGGTGAAAACAATGCGCTCAACCACAAAGTCAACACGCACGAAGATCGCACAAAAAATATTAGAAAGTATGTGGAAAGCACATAGTTATGGATAGCGTTGTTAACCTTATCGCTGAGTGGCTTCAAATAAAAAATATTTAAAAAAAATAAATAAATAAATTGACGTGAACCGCCAAGACAAACAAGCCGTGGCGCGCTTTCATTGCAAGCAATTTAGCTACGCATGCGCAAAACTATAAAGGTAATTACTCCCAGACGGAATGGAATTTGCATATTTTATTGTTTAGCGCTCGATTGAGTGGAATCTCAAAATAAATTAAATAAATAGTTAACAAAATATACTAAAATGTTTAAATATAAAAATACATAATTAAAAAATTTTAAAATCAATCTTCCAAAATATATGTTTGTTCATAAAAATTAAATTGAAGAATATTTTAATTATCTTTGTCTCCATTACATTTTAATTTTTCAACCCAACAACAAATTGATTTTTATTGACCTTGTACACACCAGTTTATCATTTCAGTAAATACAGCAACAACTACATTTTTGATTACTTTGTAGTTATACACATCTGTAGAACATATATACATATTTCGAAATCTATGAAATAATCGATTTTTTTTATTTCATTTCCATTTACACGCATCAACACCTCGCGTAATTATCGGAATGTGCGCAGATTGAACTCAATTTCCAGACATTTTTTTTTGTTTCCCATGCGTTTAACTGAAATATAGAAATATTGAAGACAACGTACATATGTGAGGGGCACTGATGCGGCACGCAATTATGCATTTTGGCTGGTATTTTTATTTATCACGCCCTTTTCGCCACTTTTAAATATTTTAATTGCTTTTCTTTTGCTCTTAAGCAACACACAAACATATGTAAGTATAGTATATATATATATGTACATAAATATGTAGATATGTACATAAGTATATACACACACATTAATTATTAGTTGAAGACCTGAGCATGTGGAACTGCTAAAAGCTATCGACGCAGTTGTGTGCGTTGGCTGTGCAACCTTGCCGCGAACCTACAGATGGTGTTGAGTAGATTGTTTCGCTAGCTGTTTGAATTGCTGAATGAATTGAGTTTTGTTGGGCTTGTTGTTGGCGAACATTGTTTGGGGCGATTTTTTTTTATTGTTTCAGCACTTCGCCCTCGTTGTATGCGGCTTACAACAATGCCATATTATTCTGATGAGTAAGCATTTGTGGAGATGTGCGTACATCTGATACCGTTAGTTCACAATGCAGTTATGCATGCACTTATGCAAAAAGCACTTCATATCGTCTCATAAACGAACCCACGCATCCGTTGCACATAAAAATTTTGTGGTATCTATTCAATGCACATGCGTTTTCTACTTAGTCCAACGTCGGCATATAGTTACTATCTAACTAAAAATGTTGTTGTGCGAGTGTGTGTGTGGAGGCGAACGGAAGTGAGTGCCTTGTCTGCAGATAGCAGTGAAAATGATGTGGTTTCAAGCCTCTTCAGCATTCATAAAAGTTGCGTTAAACTTCTTTTAATTGTGCGAATTGCTGGCAGCGCTTCATTCTAACCTCAATATTAAATAATGACCATGACCGAATTGGCGCACGAATGAAGTCAGCGGGCTACTATTCCACATTTGTGGAATAAATAAATAAATTTGTGCATAGTTTTGATACTTAAATATGGATCTGTCTGCTGCTTTATAGGCGGTGCGTGGCAGCCGGTAAGGCACCGCATGGAGAGATTCTATACAAATTCATTTCAGAGTTGTTGCACACATCCATAA